CCACTTAGTGGCTGCTACCAAACCTCTCTGAGCCTCAGTTTCCTCAGTTGGGAAATGGGGATACTAAGACCTGTGCTGCTGTTGTGAGGGTTGCATTATTGATGAATGCATCGCAGTACCTCCATTGGTAGTAGGTTGTTAGTTTCATCTCTTCTCTGCGTCTGTCTGTCTCCTCTCAGGAAGGGTGCTGTCATCCTGATCTCATCCATAGCAGCTTATATACCACACGTGGTAAGTGTGTAGCCCTTGTGCTGCTGGGTGATATAGGGACAGGGGCAACTGCTCTGTTCCCCAGAGCCCCACAGGGACACTGTCTGCGGCAGACACCCACCTTACTTCTGGTTCCCTGGACTGAGCTTGTCTCCTTGTGGCTGCTGGGTTCCTCATATCCACTTCCTGTTCTCAGACATGGCTGGGGAGAGCGTATCTGGGCCTGGGCTTGTACAGGAGGGGCCCAGTGCAGGCGAGAAACCTAGCTGGTTTCCCCCCACCACGACATCTGGTTGCTCTCGCCATCCCTTCCCAGGAACTGGGTGCCTACAATGTAAGCAAAACAGCCCTGCTGGGCCTCACCAGGACGCTGTCATTGGAACTAGCTCCCAGGAATATCCGGGTGAACTGCCTGGTTCCAGGAATTATTGACACCGACTTCAGCAAAGTGGTGACGACTAAGGTGTGTCCCCCCCCTCCCTAGTGACTAAGGGATGAAGAGGTGACTGGGGCCTCAGGTCAGCATGCTTATGGCTGAGGTCCTCACTGTCTTCTGAACTCAGCTGTGGTCCAGTCCATGCACTCCGAGAAGATGTTGCTTTTCCTGAGAAGGGCAAACCTGCCTTGGGTGTTCTGCCAGGTGGCCACCTTGGGGCTCTGCTCCTATCTCCTTATTTCAGCAGCACTGACCCTTTCATCTCTTCCCTTTGCCCAGTTACACAAGAACAAGGCTCTCTGGACAAGCTTGAATGAAAACCTGGGGCTGCAGAGGCAAGTGGGGTTTGGAGCTTTGGTGGTCTGAGTACGGCTGGGGAAGGGTGGCTGTGTCTGTCTAAGAAGCAGAGCCCTCTTTGTCTACTGGCCATTCTTTCTGCTGAAGTCTGGGGTCCACACAGCCCTGGAGGGTGCAAGTAGCCCCCTGTGTCCATCCTCCCGACCACCATGGAACACACTCCCACTTGTGGCTGGTGAGCCCCAGAGCAGCAGAAGCAGAGTACAAAAAGACTGACGCTGTGCCCTCTCCCACCCAGGATTGGGCAGCCTGAGGACTGTGCAGGACTCGTGTCCTTCCTGTGCTCTTCGGATGCCAGCTACATCTCTGGGGAGAATATCGCGGTGGCCGGCTTCTCCTCTCGTCTCTGAGTGGGTGGGGATGGCCATGCAGTTGTGGCTCTGGGCCCAGAAGCTAGGAGATCATTTGGGTCTGGGGACAGAGTCTGCAGCTCTGCCCGACTAGCAATCTGGGGGCTTGCTTGTGCTAGGTTTGAGGAAGAAAAACCCTTCAGTGATTGCATCTTCAGGACTCCTCAGCCTGACTCTTATAGATTCAGCTGATCCAAGCAGCGTGTGGGGCTCTGGGTGTGGGCTGCAGAGCTTAAGGATTTTATGGGGCTGGTGCTTTCCAGGAACCTTAAGGGAAAGGAGAAGAGGCTCGGGCTCCCGAAAGATTCTAGCTCCTTCTCTCTGTAATTTGTGCTTTAAACATTTCTTTCCTAAAATAAACTCAAATGTATCCTCAAGTCTGGAAGTGCCTGGCAAGGGTGGGGCCATGAGCAGAATGGCTGCGGAGTGGTCTCTCCCGCTAGCTGCCTCCTTTGCAGCTCAGAGGCGTCGCAAACCGTCGTGGTGTGGCGCGAGCGCACTACTTTACGGCAGGCTTCCTGTGTGCTCCGTTCTCTGAGCCCGGCATGCTGGAGACTGAGTAAGCA